TTAGCCCTCTACAGAGTAAGGATAATTAAGAGAATAATTGATTTACATTAATAATTATTTGATATTAACCCCTATCAAGCATTAACCTTTATCAAGCATAAAAAATAAATTTATTCTAAGTATATTGAGATATAATCTAAGAATTCTGTACTGCTATATAAAGTAAAGAAAGTAAAGACAATTCTAAATAAATTAAATTTTTTCTGTATAAATTACTTGAAACATTTTGCAAATCTACATAGAATACGATACTATCCTTTAATTTAACTTTCTATCACTCCTGGCAGCCTTTTCTTCGTGTCGGTAAAGTCCTTTTGATATAGGTTCAAACTAGAGATAGAGCGGGTATCCGGTTTAGACCCGGCACTGTTTTTAGGATCCGGTTGGGTACCGGATAATGATGCCAGGTACCTGGCAGTGGCGGGTGGCTGTTTTTTCGAATTTGTATTATTTATCAATTGCTATACTAAATTATTTGTTATTTCGATATAGTTCTGAGGTTTACTTTTCTCGTAAAAATGAATAGTACAATTTCTGTCGCTTGTTGGTATATCAGATTTTGGTTAACCGTAATTTATTAGTATCTACGATTTAGTTACGATATAGGCTCGCTTCAACGGTTTCAATTTAACCCTCTTCCGTCAACTAATAATTAATATTTCATTGATTTAGTATTTAAACGACTTTTTAAACGGGGTTTAGTACCTATGCTATGTAATGTTGGTGACGGTAGTATTTATTGGAAAGCCTACCAGAACAAATACATCGATCATTGATTAAAATTGTAAATCTTTATTATTCACTATTTGAAATACTTTAAGAATTCGCATTATCCTTATTTATTAGTTGTAATATGGGACTCTTCTCTTAACTACCTTTAATACTAAACTATTTATTATGGAATGTCACATTGTATGGACATGAACCAAGTACACTTAAGATTTAAGATTCTCTTTTAAGTGCTCTAAATTGAATTTCATCCAAAGCAATTGCGATGCTTATTGAATTGTTAACATTGCACTATTTGACATGATGTACTCGTACTTTATGCGATGTTGTTGTGTCACTAAACTCTTACCTCCAATAAAATTTACAGTCATTGACACTTTTATAGTAGCAATGCTCCTCATTGTAATTTATTGTAAATGAAAAACAGTTAGAGTAGTGTTAACATTAAACTTTAATAACGAATATCCAAAATATGCAACATGCTATCCGCAGATCTACTTTCTTCCAGTAGTTTTCTTTAAACAAAGAAGTACTTGTTCATTATTTTCAGGCTATATTTCAACAAATTCGATACCATTTTTTTGTTCGCGAGATATCGTGCAGGACGTATGTACACACACGTATATTTATTTTTCAAATTATGATATTTGGAAAATTTACTTCCTTATGACTGATTGGGAGTTAACAAGTTAAAATTCACAATACCAATACCATTTTGTTACAATAATATTTGGTTGAAAACAAATTTAGTTAATTATGTACTTTTAAACTTATTTTAAAACAATTATTGTTTAATTTTCACTAGATACCCGGTAACAGAACCTTCTTATCTTGTACATTTTATCATGTTTACAAAAAGCTACAAGCCATGAATTACAAATCAGTGGTAATGTCTAATAAAAATGTGTGTACTTATTCAATTACCTATGCTATTATTAAGTTGGTATTTTTATAAAACTGATAAATTTATTTTCATTTCAGTTATAATGTTCATTCATTCCCCCATATTCGGGAAAGCAAGTTCTTCCGTATTATTACATTACTATTACAAATATGAGTATAAAAATAAAGCAAAACATAAGGAAAAGTAAAGTTTATTTACCTCTCATGATTTACAAATATTTCATAATTTCATTATTAATTACAAATAGACGTATATTTATATATTATAAACAAATAAGTGAATAATCACTAGGATAATGAATGATACTTAATATATCAACTATAGTAGAATATATATTTTTTTATAAACAAAGATAGATTTTGTTCCTTTATTACTTTATGAAAGTATTTGTAATTTAAAAAAAATGGAAATTATTATTTATTGGAGAATCGAGCACGTTACACCTCACCATCTACACCATAATACAATTAAAGCGGTAATTCAATAAAAAAACTGATTTCTTACCTTTATCAAAAATTTATTATTACACATGTTGTCAATAAAACAATGAAAGGGTTGTATTTATAACATTTTTAAGGTCAAATGTGATTATACAAGACGAGGATTACTGAAACTTTTTATTTAAAAAGATGATTTCAATGAAAAACTTTGAAAGTCATACAACCTTATCTATTGAGAAAAATAAAGAAAATAATTCAATTGCATATATCATGGTTATAATCCTTTTTTTAATAAATATCGTAAATATAATAACATAAACTTTAAATAGATAATTACATTAAACGAAGAAATAGACACTTACAGTTTTCAGTAGGCGAACTTTTCTTGATATTAACTATCAGTTACTATTTTTAGCATCTATCAAGTAATTTAGTTGCAGCAGTAAATTGACGAAATAAATTTGAATTGAATTTTGCTGACAACTAATAACGTACTGTACAATAGTCATTGTTGTGTGTTACGCAAAAATTGTAGTCGTTATAAATAAATTCTTAATGAATACTGTTTTCCATTTTTATAATATCGTAATAAAATTTTATTGTACGTTATATTGATATTGTAGGTAAAAGTGTATCCTGGAAGTGAAAAACTTGAAACTCAAATGGTCAAAGAATCATGGCCAACATTCAATCAAGAATTCACTTTTGATCTCCTACAAATGTCGTCTGCAAAGTCCACGGATCAGTTTGTAGGCAAATTTGTTGTACTTACAATCTATGCCATTCTTGAAAGTCAAGATTTGTGTGAGAAGTCAAAATCAAAAAATTCAGTTATGAAAATTGTTTCGACCATAACGAGCAGAGAAGGCATCAGGAGAGATGATAAAACTAGGAGAAGTAAAAGGATATCGTTATCCAATAGGAGGACAGTTGGCGCTGTGACCTACAATCTTGAACCCAAATTATTTACTCAAAAATTACGAAATAATTGTCTAACAACTCCGGATATCTGGAGAGAAGTACAGACAATATCTAGCGGAAGGGAGGTTGAATCTGTAAGTTCAATAAAGATAATTCATTTTTTGACATTACCTGTCTAGTGGTATATACTTTAGATGATCTTCTGAAGTTTACCATTTTCTTTATCATCATCATCGTCAGTAATTCTCCTTCGTATCTTGAGCTAATCTTCGCAATTTCCTAAAACTAAAACATCCCATATTCCTAACTATTTGCGAAAAATACTGTAATCTACTTTAGGTCCACTTCTACACCTCTTAACTCCTGTTTCTGCTTCTAATTTGTCTAATAAAACTAGCCCTACCTATCGCGCCTATTTCCTACTCTTTCTAATATCTCCTTCTTTCTAACCTCTAGCCACAGTATCTTTGTTATTCACCTGTAACACCACCGCCGTGATCACCGTCCACGTTTCGCACCTGTATAAAGCCATCCTCCAGATATAGATCTTTAACGATTTTTTTTGAATTTCTAAATTAATCGTTCGCGAGCATAGAAGTCACTTCTTTCTATCTATTTTGTTTATAGGACAAATTTGATACTTGTATAACTTATACAGAAAATGATGTGAAATCCGGTAGATAGAGAGTCCCATGGTCATGTTGCGCAATTCTTCACAGATTTAGACCAATTGAAAAACAATTAGAAATGTAAAACTATTAATTTTATCAAACACACTTGAGATTAGCCTTTGAGGACCAATACCTTCCTGCTTTTCCCGTACTATATTTTTTGAAACATCCTGTATATTTAATTAGTTCATCGTTATGTCTTACATCTAACAATAATAAATTGCAGTGCTATTAGCTTTAAAAAATCTGCAAACATTTACATTTGTAATCACAACTGGTATCCGTCGAGAAAATTAAAAGTTGAAGAAAAGGATCATATGCTAATTGCATTTCTATTTTAGAGGGAAAGTAAAAAAGGCGAATTAGAAATCACATTTTCTTATTCAAATAGCGAAGATGGAAATAACGACCTGCTGGAGGTATCTTTATCGAGGTTAAGATGCAGTATTAATACAATGCAAGAACACGAAAAATATGGAGGTATGTGAATTTTGAATATTTGGAAATTATTTTTCCAGTTGAACATATAAGTTTGTCTTCATTATTCCAATCTATATTTAAATAGTGAGTTATAAATTTTGATATTGTTTAAGAAATATTTTTACTTTTGAGAAAGAACAATTCACTTGAATTATGAAAACTGATAAAACAGAAATCGTGGTGGTACATATCAATTGTATCTATTTTATCTGGCAAGATAGCGAACATTCATTGCTCTAATAATAACCATTTTATGTTACTGTTTATTATAAATAAATCTGGTAGGAAATTGGAAAAGAAAACCGAGACATTCTTGAAGAATCTTACTTATTTTCAGAGATTTTCTAATGCGTACATAATGTCATTCTGTAATTGTTGGTAGGTAATGCCATTAAATTTTTTTTAAATAATAGTTAAGTAAACAAGTTTTAAATATCGGAATTTAGACCACTAAATAAGTTTACTATTTTGAAAAGTAGGTTATAAATTTTTTAACACTTCTTAGAAACGATTAGTCGTACACTGAAGGACAATAATTAATTATTAACTACGTAGTATTTTGTAAAACAGCTTTTTCAACAGTCTGCCATTATAAAAAAGGCAAATTTTGCGGTTTTCTACCACAGCATTACCTACTGAGACTTGACATTTGTGACTTAAAAACCAAATTGATGATTTTTCTGTTGGTTTTAGGTAGTTCGTAAACTTCATGTTATATATTTTTACTTTAACTTATTAAGCACCTGCAGTTTTCTTTTGTTATACATACGAGCAAACCTTTAATTCTTCCATGAATGGAAATGTTTAGGTACGAAATCTGATTTTAAAAATCAAGATCTAGTTCTACCTCTGTATGGTGATGACAATATAAATTATAACAAACAGTATTATTTACTTTTCTTGCTTAATATCGCTTGAGTCAATATTTGTTATCTTACTATTTCAGGCTCATTGTACATAAAGATGACTGCACAATGTGACGGAGAATTGTTAGCTAAGTGGAAAAGCGACCGATTTCAACCGACGATTAGCATGAAAATCGAGCCTAAAACAGCGATTATGCACGCTTTTATTAAAAAAAATCAATTAAATAACATAACCATTACGATAAGGCTAATGAATAAAAACGCACTAGCGAAAAAGACGCTACTTGGAAAAATTGAACTGAATATGAAAAGCGATTTGTGGCAGAAAGTCATACAAAATCCGTCGATACCGGTGACAGAAATGATGAGATTCTCATAACTCAGATAAATTCGTGCTCAGTAGATTTCTATTAATAATCAGAAAATATATTATTAATTTATTTATTAAAGCAGTTACTTAGATACAATAACATTTATTTTTTAATATTATTTGAAACAATGGATTAATAGGCTGGCTTTGTCATCCTGGCGACGAAAATGTAAACGAAAGTAAAACCAAGAAGTCATCTGTAGGCACTACAACAAGTTTTTCCGGGAATAAATAAGATTGTTAAAAAGGCGAGTTTGCCTGAAGCTGCTTAACGTAGATTAAAAATGCAGATGTTGGAGCCAATTCTGTTTGACTGTTTCGAGCTACCACTTTTTTTGCACAAGTGACCCCAACTGCTCCTACAACAATTTTGACTGGCTAAACCTTGTGCAAACTGACCAACAGGTTTAGCTGTCAACAGCTGAATTTTCGATGTTTGTGATATTTTAGGGCGGTGCAACGGATGTTGCTAGCACACGTAGGTATTATTAGGTATGTAACGGAAATTAAGTATGATATTAACAGCAAGTTAATGAATACGTGACTTGCTGATTGGGGTGAGTTCGGCAGAAGGGGCAGCACACTTATTAATATACAGAACTCTTAAACTGATTATTATTGTCTCTGAAAATGCTTGTTGTAACATAGATGTACATATACATTACATTTTCTGATAACTATTATGTTTTTTCTCTTTTTCAAAAAATATACTATTACATGTACTATAATACTGAACAATGCATGTTTACTAACACTTCCTAATAATTTTGTGTTCATAAACAAATGTAAAATAAAATATCAAAGTGTTTTTGGCATTACTATTCTTTTTTCAGCTAACTTCATTTTATAAGGTGAGAAGAAAAAGTACTTGATTATAGGTAAGAATTATACTTTAGTTTTTCTTCGTGTTATATGTATGAATATGTACAGTACGTCATGCTTGAAGGAAATATACTTGTGAATCATTTAATAAAGCGCCTTAATAAAGATTACTACATATAGGAATAAACAAAAATCGGCTATCATATTTCTAGGATAAAACACTTTACTAAGCCATTTTTCAAAGTAACCAAAACAAAAATGCGATACAACTCTGCTGCAATCAAAGACGAACAACTACTACATCTAAGTGTTTTATTATTTCTTCATATGTTTATATGCTCATTGTTTTCTATTATGTTTTATATTGAAAATGACGAAAACTAGGGTCAAATGGCTAAATTTTCGTTACTTCTATAAGTTTAGATAAAACTGTAGCTTTTCTTGTTTTTATTTGTAAATATATACATTTGTGATTACAATCTACATCCCAAATTATATTTTATAAACGCGAATGTGAGATTGTTTGTTTATTACAATTTCACGCCTTAACAACTGAACCAATTATCATGAAATTTTGTACACATATTGTCAGAGCTACGGAAAAGGACATAGAGTACTTTTATCCAGAAAAAGGTACTGTTCCCGAGAGATAAAAAAATTCCTGTCATCTCGATAAAGAAGGACAGTATTTACTGTCATTCTATGTAATCTGTATGTTTAGTGTAGAAAATTAGAAATTTTAGTTTTATCCTGGTGATCCTGGTCAGGACAAAATCAAATTATTGTATTTTCGATGATGTTTGACACGTATATAGAACATCAAAGCGAACGAAGCCGCCAATAAACGCTAGTATTATGTAAAAGGGTTGAACTGTCTGACCGATATATCAAACCACAGCCCAAACGTCTGGGTCTAGAGACTTGAAGTTATGCACAAACGTTGCTTGTACAACATAGGTGAATACTAAGAAAGGATTTTTTAATATTTTTAAAATTCAACCCTTAAAGGGATGATACAAATATTCTGCTGATATTACACGTAACTTTCCGATTCTAAAATTGTTACGTAAAACAACCATAACCCCCACCTACCCTCACGTTACCTATAGGACCATAACATGGACTAGACCCTCCACCCCAAAACGTCATACATGTAAAATTCCAAATTATGTATTATATTTTTCCAATTGATTAAATTCTTCTTCAATTAAAAAGGAATGGTTTTGTTTCCGTTCATGTATTGAATCGTTTGCGTTTTCTTTTACCGAATTGTTAAACGTGATAATAGCGAAAGAAAACTGAGGAAAGGAAGTTACACCAATTATACGCTCGGCTTGTTAAATATGTTCAACATTTTCGGTAAACAGTGGTTAGCGACGGACGATGTTGGTCTTCCAGGGAAGTATGCATTATTTATTACCTTTCTGTGTTTACCGAAAGAAACCTTAACAATAGGAGTGAATTGTACACACATATACACACCATTTAATCTAGAACATGTGCGTTACAAGTTAATTTTAGCAGGAGTCAACAGCCTTTTCTTTCTAACCGTTAATTCCCACGAAAAATGCGACCGACCCCGGCGAATTATGAAAAGCCTTTTATTACAGTGAACTGTTACATCATGTCGTGGAATCATTTTACAAAAAAAAATAATAATAGTCTGCTTTACCGTTACATTTACAAATCGCTTTAAATTTCATTTTTAATTCGTAGTGTATTAATTGACTTTATGCCATCGTTAGTGCTGTTGGATGTGTATAAACATGCTAAACTATTAATAAAAGAAACATAAATTTTAAAATGTTTTTTATTAGAGTTTAACAAACTTTTTCTTATAATTGTCCGTCGTTATTAAAAAATTGTAATAATTAGAAGAAAGTCACAATGATCATACTTCAGTTTCAGTCTTCGTTTTCTCTATGTCTTTATGATGGATTTACAATTATAAGCTAAGACACCAGATTTCAAATTATTTGACTACCAAGTAATATGAAATCGGAAGCTTAGGTCACACTTTGCATCAAAATAAAGGACTAAGAATGCATACTATTCTCATGAAATTTTGAGAGAAAAGTTCGAGTTCTTATGGACGAATATTACAATATTACAAAATGCAAAATGTGCTTAGAGACGTCGATTGTAGGAAAAGCAGTCAGCAGAATCCAAAAGAGACTCATGAATAATTAAATGCTAATTAAGTGCTCTAAAGAGACGTGCATTTTTTAAAAACTGGTTTTCTGCTATCTTTATATTAAGTAGATTTATGAATACATACTATACTCTTAAAATTTTGCGCGTAAAAGTTCGAGTTCTTATAGACAAACGTACAAAATACATGTGATTACATGGACGCTCACGCGCTTGGAGATGTCAATTGTCAAAAGAGAAGTTAACAGAATCCAAAAGAGACATTTGGAGAATTAAATGTTGATTAGGTGCCCTAATAAGACATTACCTACATGAGCATTTCTTAAAAATTGATATTCTGTTGTATTGAAATTAAGTTGTGCAAAAGAGTGAAAGGTTATTTAAATAATGAAAACAATTTTTTTGGTCACACGGTAATTAAATGCTCATTAAATTCCGGAGAGAGCACTGTAATCATCAATAGTATGATCATTCTTATTTCGATTTTACGGAAGTAATACTTCATTCCACGGGGAATTCGATCAAGAAACCAAGCAATATCTTTTCCACTCCAGATGTTCAAGTAATAAGAGCATATCATTGGTACCAGGTCTGCTTCAATAGAATTCAATTAAAAAAATTATTTTCATTGCCAATTCTATAAATAATTTTTGCAAACGTTTATTCGTTTCCTTATTTGAGTTTGAATTTATGTTTCATAAACAGCCACTAATTTTTAATCTATACATCAACATCATTAAAGACAGTACAACTGTAGGGATAGATGTGCAAGGACAAAAGATTAGTATGCTTAGATTTGCAGATGATATAGCAGTATTAGCATATAGCAGTATTAGCATCTAGCAAGGAGGACCTAGAGATAGCTTTAAATAAAATGGAAGCGGTCCTGACAGATCAGTACTGTATGAAAATAAATGAAAGTAAAACTAAAATACTGGTATGCAAGGGAAGAAAAAGTAGGGAAAGAGCGAATATAAAGATAGGAGACGAAAAATTAGAAGAAGTGGCTGATTTTAGATACCTAGGAAGTCAGATAAGTGAGGATGGAAGGAGTAGTAGGGATATAAAGCAGAGGATAGCGCAGGGTCGTGTCGCCTTTAATAAAAAGAAGTCACTTCTATGCTCGCGAACGGTTAATTTAGAAATTCGAAAAAGGTTGTTAAAGGTGTATGTTTGGAGCACGGCGTTGTACGGGTGCGAAACATGGACAGTGGGAGCGGCGGAAAAGAAAAGGTTAGAAGCGTTCGAAATGTGGTGTTATAGGCGGATGATGAGGATATCGTGGGTAGAAAAGGTTAGAAATGAAGAGGTATTGGAAAGAATAGGAGAACAGAGGACTCTATGGAAGTCAATAAAAAATAGGCGAGATAGGTTGGTAGGACACCTTCTCAGGCATGAAGGTCTAGTCAGAGACATATTAGAGGCAGAAACAGGAGTTAGGAGGGGTAGAGGTAGACCTAGATTAGATTACTGTTCGCAAATAGTTAAGGATGTGGGCTGTAATAGTTTTAGGGAAATGCGAAGTTTAGCTCAGGATAGGAAAGAGTGGAGGTGCGTGTCCAACCAGTCTTAGGACTGACGACCTTATGATGATGATTAAACAGCCATCATTGTTTCAAAGAGCTCAGTACAAGTGACCATCGGTATTCTTATTGATACCAACCCTTCTTGGATTCAATTATGCAGATTGAGTTCTAGTCTTATTTAAGACGTAAACCGACTGCTCATAGCTAATTTTATTTAATTTTACCTTATTTACTGCATTTCTAATTTCTAATTTGCAAATATGATTTTAATAATTATTATTCACATAGGAAAATAAATTTATTCAGTTAAGGAAAGAGGCGTTGCCAATCTATGGTCATAGAACGCTCGAATCGTATGTGGCCTTAAAGATGTCTTTCAATGCGTGTCATTAACTGCTGTTGTCATCTAATTAGCGCCTTCGATATGATGGTTATGTAGGTGGTAATTCTTGATGCAAAGCAACCCTTTGACCTACGTCTATGACCGTAGAAGGTGAAGTTACTATATTTATATGCGTTTACGTTACGAAATATCGAAAGTTTTGAATGTATTTCCGACGTTTGTGTTTCATGGTGTCAGTCGGTTGCAAAAAATGCCTATGACATTCAAACGTAGTCAATATTATAAATGCATTTGTAATTCAGTTCCTGCATTTTATTGTATGTAAATATGAATGACGAATTAAATACAGTGCAAAATGCATTATAACGAAACAGTCCCTATAGAGTAGACATTACAAGTGTCATCTTATTTTTTCCGATACCATAAGAAAAAAAGTCTTACATTTTTATTTACTTTCAAAATTAATTAAAAGGACATATATCTAATAATATGGCCTTAGCAATTAAACCTTTCGAAACAAAGCATTTATTTTTAATATCCTGCAACGTAAATCCTTGAAGCAAAGCTTTTTTCACTTAGATATTTATTTAGGAAACGCTAAAAATGTTAAGTACTTACATAAAATTACTTTATGCTCTGATTTATTTTACGCTGTGTTATAATATTGATATTCTCTTTTTATTCTAGATACATCAAATATGAACGCACTGGTAAGTGATATCAATTCATTATTCATAATTAAATTGTAATAATTTCAAAGAAAAACATACCTAGAGTTTATTTTCACAAAATATAATTAGAGAAACTCTAACAATTGTTTCGATTCTTTAATCGTTTTCAAAAAGTACAGACCAAAATTCAAAAATTGTGAGGTTTATACGGTATGAAGATATGTATTAACACCCTACCACAATGTCCATTGATTTTATTAAATTAGTTTCTGGTATATTCTAGCTTCGCCTATTATAATTTGCCTTTAATTACTATACAACAATATTATTCATCTTTCATACGAAAATATTCAATACATAAAAAGAAATTTCAATAAATAAATAATTGATTAATAATAAAAAGATTAACTCATTGTCAGTTAACTGTTTCAAAATGTGTTAATCAATGTAAAAAACA